CGCCCCCCCCCCCCCCCCCCCCCGAGAATTTTTAAACCAAGACAATTGTGTCTTATGTGTTTGCTCTCTAAAGAAGATAAAGTATGCTGCTGATTTAAACATTTTTTTTTTTAAAAAAAATCTTTCATGCAATTTAATTTTTCTTTTATTGCTTCCATTTGTGGTAATTTCTTTAAACTTTTATCATTTGTTAATTTTGAAATTATTTTAACGCATTACTTAATGATGTATGTTGTATCAGTCTCTTCTTATAATTAATTATAATAATTATAACAATTATTGTGCTTAACTAAACATACCATATATTATTTCCAACTTATTTTTTATTTCTACATTAGTTAAAGTTCACAAGATAAAATGCAATGAATAGGTAAAGAACATGGTCGTGTACTGGTAATCGGTCAAAATATCAAAATTTATTCGTTTTTCCAAAAATTAGTATCAAATTATTTAATTGACTTGTTAGTAGCAATAATATCACAGTTATTATCGATTATGACCGTTGTGGGTATTGTTAAATTGAGATATCATTCCGTTTTGACTTTTGGTTTTTACTGTTGTGTTTGATAAATTGCCCAGTAGCAGTAAATTGAACGAATATTTAAACGGTAATAAGTCGCAAACGGATTACTGAAATTAAATTCTGTAAACGTTAAAATTATTTTTTTCAGTATATTTATAAATTTTCGCTATCGAAAATAGGTATTGCCATTTGAAAATCGAAAGTTGATAGTGTTTTATCAAATAAGGGAGGAAGTTAAAATTATCAAAATTGTAACACAAAGTAGAATAGTAAAACCTAGAAAGTTTAAAAAAAAAATTATTTTAAAATTCCTATTACTTCCCGAGATAATAACTGGTTCACGATAAAAAAATCACTCTGTATTTTGTGATATAACGATTAACGTAATTTATTATACATATAGTAATTTACAGCGTATAAAGTTTGAATTCAATTTATGAACTAATTTTCATAATTTAATATTTAAGTTAATATTTTCAGAAAATTTAGGTTTTTTTATAATTAAATAATTTGATATTTAAGCTAGTTGAATTAGAATGTATAGTGTAATGTACTAATTTTCGGAAAAACGAATAAATTTGGATATTTTGACCTAGATTCTCGTGTACTATGTATAGCTAATTTTATTTATTATATGTACGGAAAAACATTGTATTTTTTCAGATTCATTTTCTCTCTTTTTCAGATAGTCAGATGGGTAATTGTATAAATAATGATTCCCTGCCAAGATCACATCATTTGGCAACATTTAAAAATTTATATTCTATAATTTATAAATTATCCGTGATAACTGATAAGATTGGTCACAGCAATCGATAGTTATATTAAATTGTACAATTCTATTAATTTTAAAAATATAATTTTGTTGACGTTATCTGGATCGGGACCTAATGCTTGTTGAAGGTTGTCGTCATATTATTTGCAACTGCTGAAACACAGACACACAAAGGACAGTCTGGAAATTGATATTATCATCCTATCAGAAAATGATATGCATTATATTATAATATGCATAAATGGCGGAACAAAAATATAATGGATAACAAAGACATTTGTATATAAATCAAGGTTTAATGTATATCTTTAACCATGGTATAAATACATGTGATCAATTTTAATTTAAAATAACGAAATTCTTGTGGTTATCTTATCAACTCAACTTAATTACTATTTTAATATTGTTTACGGTCCTAATTTATCGTATAAATATTCAAATTCGACTGTTCACCGTTGTCTGTTATTGAAATTCTATTTTTATTTTCTTACCTATTTATCCCAAGGTATTATTAATATAACTTCATTTCATTTTTACTCAAGATGGACGAGAACGTGTACCAAGAATTGGAAAACCGTGTGAAAGGATCGGTGAACTCGTATAAAGTGTTTGGTTTTTCACATATCGTCGTTATTGGTTCAGTAGCTGACATAATGGACTCGTCGTTACGCACAATCATTGACGGCATGTTTCGCAGAACTAAAACACATTGTAAAAACGAAGAAGAATCAGAACTCTACCGCCAGCGTCTCTGTAAGCTTTATTTGACTTACTTTAGAAAAGGTTTAGTTAATGTTGACCTTTTAGAACCGAAATTGGCGAAAATTTTAACTGTTCAAGTGGAAAGTCCTAACGAATGTTTGGCTGATAGATTAGCTGCATTAAGATTAAAGGTTGCTGAACGAACAAAACGTGTCAAAAGCTTATTGGCTTTACAAAGTCGCTTGAAAACAAACACTGTTTTTGCAGAGTGGACCATTTCCAAAGTAGAACAGCCTATATATGAAGCTCAAAAAGAACTTGCTAATGTAGAATGTGTATCACCAGATGATTTTACATTCATTAAGAATAATTTGAACCGTTTGAGAAACTCTATTAACTATCTAGATTTAAATTAATAATTTATTATTCAATTTTAATTTTTAGTGATAAATAGTATTGTATTTGTATAATGCTTGCTAATTAATTACTTAATTTTAAACAAAATTTTATCTGTACATTTTTAATTTTAAAATATTTTGCTAATCTTATTAACCATAATATATAAATATAATTAACAATAATTCTTTCAATCATACTATTTTGATGTCAGAAATCATTTAAAAAATTGTACCTTTTTATTTTTAAATAAAATGTTTATTTCATATTATTTTATTGTAAGATAACAGTTTTTTGATTCAATTGAAGTTACAAATAACTGATAATGGAATGGTAGGTGATTAGTGATGAAATACCAAACAGAAAATTTAAAAACTTTAATCCGAAAAAGAAATTGTTAGCTGTAGAAATTATGAAGTTATTAAAAATAAATGTTTAAAAAAATAAAATTGTTCTATTGTTTTTATAATAATAAATATACTAAAAATTATTAAATATTACAAATAATATTAATGAAAATAATATATATAAAAATAAGTTCTTGCCTATAGTATTATTAATAATTAAATATTTTTGATCAATTTTAATTTAAAAATCAATAATAAATAATAAATAGACATAAAAAACCACTGTAACAATTCAAAGCACTTCAGAAAAGTACTTTTTTTTCAATTAATATTTGTTGTATTAAATAAATTGCTTAAATATTTAGTAGAATTTCATTGCAGTTAAACCTATTGGCTAATTAATAGTAATAAGTGATACCAGGTTTTAGAAATTCTAACATGTAAAATTCATTCAAAATGCATATTTTCTTGGTTCATCCTAGAACATCTAAAGTAAGATACAAATATGTTTTACACTACTCGGATGTCATACCACGTGTACACAACATTTAATTTTGCTATTTTTTACATATTTATAGGTTTTATTGCTATTTTTTTAATTTAGGGCTTATAGTGCTATTTTCGAGTATATTTTCACATACTACAGAAAATAGTCGCATTTTATTTGTAATAATTGTATTTACTTGGTTATATTTTTAAAAATATTTGAATTATTGGAAATAAATAGACCTCAACAAATATTATTTTATGATTTCATCGACGATTTGATGTATTAATAGTTAGTGACGTCATTGTTATTCCCTTATTATATCATTGCATTAGATCAGTGGCGGCTCGTGGCGTTCATTGAAGGTAGGGCACAAACATTTTCCTCCTTTTTCACTATCTTAACTTTGAATTTACCAACGATTCCTGTTGATTTTTTAAATATAATAAAATAGTTTGTGTATAAAAACATTTTAATATACGCTTATGATGTATGTTGTACAAAAAATAAGAAAATTATGGTTTAAAAATAAATAATAAATATAATTATACAGTTAATCAGTAATATTTTTGAATTCCAAATCGATTCGTCTTTTTTTTCTTTATGAATACTTTGATGACTTTATTAAATTAAATTAAAAAATATTTAATAAATTAGGTATAGAAAATTTGTAACGTATAAAAAAGAGCACCATTAAATTAAAATACATAACACTTAATTAAATAAAAGAATGAACAAAAAATAATTAATAATTATCATATTCCTATAATCTATAAAACCTCAATTACATTCAGCCCGTTTTCGTGGTAGCGAGCAGGGAAGTGGGCAGCACGAATATGTGAACACGTCACTCGCGCTGATCCTGCTCCTCGCATTGTCACTGCCTGTGGCTCCCGTTAGGAGTGGTAAATTGAGCAGCGCGAGCAGCAGGTTAACCGACAGCGTGATATTAGCACACATTAGCAGGGCAATGTAAACGCTCACTGCCTACGACGCTGCCACTGAAGTATTTTGACAATAAAATACAGCAGCGCGAGGAACAGCGGCAATGGCTAAATGTAAATGGGGTATAATAAATAATTGTTTGTTCTTCGCCACGGAAGACGGTCGACGACAACAATACGAAGACGATAAGACCCACAAAATCATGTAAATCGTAATAAAAATAGAATTCGGGCATATAAAATCTCGTAAACCGTTTTAAAAATAGATATTGTTCAAATTAAATATAAATATATATGGTAAAAAATGAATGCTGTTTCGTAAGAGAAAAAATACTAAATTTTCGTGCAAAATTTATGATGACAATACAATGGCTTAAATTTATATTTGATTTTGTTTTTTATACCTGCGATAGTTGTTATCAGGGCCGTCCCAAAGATGAAAATCAAGGGGAGGATGAATAATATGAAATTAGTTTTACTCAATGTATGTAGTATAATTAACTATATGTAGTCGTATTTTTACCTTTTAACATATATATATGTGTCAGTGTCGCATGTTCTTAAAATTGACAGTTTAATTATATATATATATATATATATATTTTATATTGTATAATAAGTAGTTATATACATTTTATTTGTGTATACACTATATTACAAAATATGTAATATTTGTTTTCCGTAAGTAAAATTAGGTCCTTCCAGGCTATAATGAAACAAGTCTAACTGCAGACTATTAAACTATATACTTTTAAAAATGAAAATCCAGCGGGCCAGTGCATAGACAAAACAAAATTTTAAAAGCTATATGTATGACATATGGAGACAATTATATCGATAAGATAAAGTATAGAAATATAATACACTATAGATTACTAGACTAGCAAATTATCGATATTAAGATAACGATTGAAATTTTAAACAGCATTCAGACACTAAATTATATTAAATTTCGAAGTAATAATCAAAGGAAACTTATTAGCCAACAGGAAAGAAGTAACAAATATTTGGAAAATTGTACGACTGACTACATTAATAAAAAAGATTATAATAATTGAATATTTAAAGAATGTCAGCTTCAAACTTACAAATCAATTGTTATAAATTGTACTTATTATATTTTATTATTTGTATTTAAAGTGATGGCAAGTGGATTTCCAAATCAACGATTTAAAATTATAGATATTTTATCATTTTATTTTAACACACATTAACGCACATTTTTAACCAAGCCTACTTTAAAGTTGACAGTCCTAAGCCTGTAAAATTGAGAAGGAAAATGTGCTTAATTAAACGAGAATCATTTCGGCTATACATAATAAAATACCTTTTTCAAACGGGAACAAATTCGGCATGTGGGTTTGGAGCTTGGGAACCAATTTGGTACCAGCCAACAGGACAACTTTTAGTTGCGAGATTTTCGTTTATAATTGCTATTCCCATGCCTTTATTCTGTTTTGAAGACGTCCGTGAAGAATTTATAATCGTTTAAAAGTTTTTGTAGCATCTCGTTTAAATGGTTTTTTGAATAATTGAAAGCAGTAGCGACAAACAAAATTTTGTATGGTCTAGTCATTAGCCACCCAATTTACTACAATCCACTTCATCCAAGGACGTACTTTAAGAGGAGTTCACTCACTCCCAAAAATGAATAACCTGTTTTATCATTTTTTATAGCATTTAGATATTTTAAAACATTTAAAATAGTAATTATTAAATGGACACAGCATTATAATTTAGAGTTAATTGGATAAATTAATTTATTACTTATATACTAATCCACCATGGCACCATCCAACAATATGATCTGATCATGATGGGGGATTATAAGGATGAACCTTTTAATTAAATTTAATTCTAAGCTTTGTGTATATATTATAAACTAATACATATAAATAAAAAAAATAAATATTTACATAACTAAGCTTATCTGTGATCAGGAATATTTTTCAATATTGATAATATATAAATATAATTGCAGTAATTTAATAATGGGACCACTTATATTATATTATGAAGTAATTCATATTGCTGTCAACACTTTCAATTTACTTTTAAGTGAACAATAAAAACCAAAATCTATGAGTCAACAAAGAATTCATAATTCATACAGGTAAATACACAATATTACAATCAATTGTGAATTAGATGATAAATAGTAACTTTTTAACAAATGTAATATTAGATTCAATATAATGTTCAACACATATTGGAATTAAATTAAACTTAATTTGTTTAAAATGTCATTGAAACATAAGTCTATATTAAAATATAGATTCAATAATCAGGTAGTGTAATTTTCTTGTGGATGCAATTATATTAAACATTAGTTAAATACTCAAAATATAGTTGTTTTTGTGTTTTAATATAATACTTGTGAATGAAATAGTGCAGTTAAACAAAAAGCTAATTTATTTCTGTTTTAATTTTTTTTACTGTTAATATATTTGATTAATAAACTTATAATTTTGTAATTTATGCTGATCTTTTCATAAAAAAAATTAAATAAAAAATAAATGCTATAAATGACTATTAAGACAAATGTTTTAGAAAATGTATTAGATTTATATTTTAATTCAAATACAAATTTTGTTAGAAACTTTTAAGTGATAAAAAATTAGGTTAGTTTATAGTACGTTTAAGCATAGTGGAAAAAAAAACAACTAAGCATAACTATCCTTTCAGCGATGACATACCAGCTCTCATAATTTCATCTACTAGCAAGAGATTGCTAGCAATAATAGTGCTAAAACAAACAAATAAATATATTAATGAATGTTTTTCTCTTAAATTACCAAAATTGTATTTCTTACCAAGAGTTTAAAATTTGTTTTTTAACACAATAATTATCAAATATTCCAGCATCCACAGGTTGAAGAACTTCACCACTGTCAACATTCACGCCTACTGGACCAATGCTTTCTCTGCACTCTTCTTGTAACTTAACTATCATATCTTGAGCATCGAACCCGCTATTAATCGCTAAAATAAGTATATAATTGAGTTCAATTATTATTAATTTAAGAGTATTAACAATTTACTAATTTTTATAACTTAATTATTAAATTATTAAGAGTAAGAAAAAAAAACTTACATATTGTTTTAGGAATAATCAATAAAGCTTCTGCAAATGCCTGAATTCCCAAACGGCTTTTACCCTTAATTTCATCTTTAAATTTTTGAAGTTCTTGCCAAGCAAATATTTCAAAAGCACCAGCACCTGGCACTACAGCACCTGTAATTTCATTGTTGAGTTTTTGAAAAACTGTTCTATTATATATCAGGGATGGGCAACTGGCGGCCCGCGTACCTTTTTTATCTAGCCCGCGCTATATTTTCAAATTACTTCATATAATTTTAGCGCTTATCTGTATTTTATTTTATTTTATTAATTTTTCGATAAAATGTGGATATAAATTCTTATCTAGTTTTAAACCGAAACTAAATTATTAAATGTCTAAATATATATTTATAATGGTGTAGCTAACAAACTATTTATTTAATTTCATCAGTTTAGTCATATCCGTACTGCCTTAGTGTCATACCGCCGCGCCGTTATTACTATTATTTTCGTGTTTTATAGTAATTATTTTAAAAATGACCACTAAAAAGCTTAAAATCGAAGACAAAAATAGAATTTTTTAACAGCTTATGGGAGAATGAATATTTATTTATTATTAACAAACAAAAAAAAAACCTCAATGTTTAGTTTGTTTAAATATTATTGCAGTACTAAAAGAATATAATTTGAAAAGACATTACATGACAAATCATTTGTCCAAATATGATAAATACACCGGTGTCGCAAGAAAGAATTGTGTAATTGATCTGAAAAGAAAACTCCAATCTCAACAAAATGTGATGGTAAAAGCAACAACTTCACAACAATTAAGTTTAATGGCATCATATGTTATTTCTAATGAAATTGCAAAATCTAAGAAATCTCTGAATGACGGTGAATTTATTAAAAACTGTGCAATAATAATGGCTAAATCAATAAACGAAAATAGAATTGCGAGTGAATTTGAAAAAATATCACTTTTAAGACGTACCGTGACACGTCGTATAGCTGACACTGATAGTATTATTCGTGAAACATTGCAAACTATAATGATGAATTGTGCATATTTTTCAATAGCATTAGATGAAAGTACTGATGTTTCAGATGTAAGTCAACTTTTAATATTTGTTAGAGTTATTTCTCCACAATTTGAAATGTATAAAGAACTTTTAGAATTGTGTTCCTTGCATGGATCAACCAAAAGAATTCGATATTTTTAATACTGTAAAAAATGCAATTAAACCATTTGGAGGTTTCAAAAATATGTCATCGGGGTTGTGACTGATGGTGTAAAATCTATGGTTGGCAAAAATATTGGTTTTGTTGGATAATTGCGCAAATCTGATATTAATGTTCCTGCAATACATTGCATTATTCATCAAGAAGCGTTGTGTGGTAAAATAATGAAACTTGATAACATCATGAATACAGTATTTAAAATTATTAATCTAATTAGAGGAGGCAACCGTAGTTTGAACCACCATAATTTTATATTAAATATTTAGAAGAACTAGATTGTGAGTATGGTGATTTATAATTGCACACAGATGTACGCTGGTTAAGTCGAGGAAAGTGTCTCAAACGTTTTTTTTGGTTTGAGAATAGAAATATTAAATTTTCTTAAAACAAATATTACAACTGATACCACTTATTTTGAAAATCAATTAGTTGATAAACAATTTCTATGTTCATTAGCATTTTTAACGGATATTTTTCAACATTTAAATAAACTAAATTTACAACTACAAGGTAAGAAAACAAACAATATCTCAAATAATAAGCTTTTTAGATGGATTCAGAAAAAAATTGGAACTGTTTAAAAATGTATTTTTTGAAAATAAATTAATACATTTTCCATGTTGTGAAGTTATAAAACAAGAATTTGATGATGAATTTAATTTTGAACATTGCATTATCCACATTGATGAATTAATTGTAAAGTTCAAAAGACGATTTGAAGAAGTTGAACTTATGCGTCCTCAAATAAATTTATTTAATAATCTTATGTCAGTTGAAATTGAAAAGCAAGATCCTTCACTTCAATTAGAATTATGTGAATTACAAACTGATCCATTTTTATCTGCAAAAGAGATTGATGTGTCATTTTGGAAAACATTACCAGTTGAAAAATATCTAATTCTAAGAGATTTCGCATTAAAAATGTTTTCTATGTTTGGAACCACATACATATGCGAATGTACATTTTCGAACTTGAAACATATTTAATTGAAGGAAAGAAATCGTTTAACAGATGAAACCTTGGGACATTTACTAAGAGTTTCAACTACAGAAATAGAAGTAATTTTACTAAATTGTCTATTGAAAAACCTCATCCTCAAGTATCACATTAAATAATAATTATAAATATAAATAAATAAAGATAAAAAATAAATATTAGTAAATTTGAAGGACCCTTTTTTTTTTGCTTTCTCCTATGCACTGTGGCCCGCTAGATTTTCAAGTACTTAAAAGTGGCCCGCTAGTTACTTTGAGTTGTCCATCCCTGTTATATATCATCAAATCATTTTTAATAATCACCATCATCAATAGAGTTTTTAATTGCCCTTAAACCATCATGAATAGCATCTTTTATCTGAGTTAGTGTGTATTTATTAGGTCCTTTTATTAATATAGTAACACTAAGTGGATTCTTACAATCCTCTACAAATGTATACTTATTTTCACCCTAAAACAAAAAAATGTTTTAATAAATACATATATATATATATATATATATATATACTATATCATATGTATACAATTTTTTTTTATAAATAAAACCACATACTAAAACATATTCATAGACAGAGCCAGCATAACCGAGCACATCTTCAGTCATGTCATCAACGCTATTGACTGCAGATCCACCACATGCTAAAGAGAGACGTTCCATATTACGTCTTTTAGCACGTCTCAAACCAATTATACCTTCTTTAGCCAACATATCCAGGGAAAATGGATCAATACCCTAACCAATAAAAATTAATATAATAATTAATGTTGAACATAAATCAAATTAATTAAATGTATATTTACCTTTTGATTTATAACAACAAATGATTTTCCAGATCCAGGTGGGCAAACTTTTCTTTTCAATTCAATAACTTTTTTCACCCTCTGTTCAATGAAATCACGTTCAGCTAAAGCTAACTTTTCTCTTTCTTCCGCTGTCTTATAAAAGAATCCAGAATTCACTTCGCTAAATAATATTGTTTTTAAATAACTAGTCATAATAATTAAATTGATAAATTACCTTTTTTCATATTCCATACTGACATTACAAGTTAATATGTAGGCATTTTCAACTTTTCTTGGCATATCTGGATGTCTCGACCCGTGATCAAGAACAAGACCTACAACAATTTATTGATTTAATACTTAAAATTCAATAGTATTTAATATAATTAATTACCCTTAACAAGAGTAGTTTCAGTAGATGTTTTATGTTGCATTTCCATTAATTCAACCATATGTAAATCAATGCCATCTTCACGTTGGATACTTAACACAGCATCAACGCATATATCTGCCATTTGATCAGCTAATTTTCTATCAACTTTAGTTCGAAGAGATGTAGTAGCCATATCATACAGCCGTTGACGATCAGGTTTTCCTTCAACTTTAATTTTTTCTAAAAGTTCTAATGCTTTATCTCTGGCTTTAATCATACCTTCGGTTAACACCCTAGGATGTACACCCTAAAATAATATCATATTTTAAATATTTACAATTTATTTATTTAAAATAAATTTTATTTATACTTCTGAAATATAGTTTTCTGCCTGCTTTAAAAGTTCACCAATAATGAGAACAGTAGATGTAGTACCATCACCAGTAGCATCATCCATTGCAGTAGAAGCTCTAGCAATAAGACTAGCTGTTGGATGTTGAATTTGCTGTGAATAAAAATAAATTGTTTACAATATATTAATATTAATTTATATTTAAACTAAATAATTAAATTTGTACTTTTATTTTAACGAGAAAAGAGGCCTCAAAAATATATGTACATAAATTTGATTCAGGATATATATGAAGGCTCAAGAACTATTGTAAAGATTTTGCATGGAGTTGGTTTGCATCAAGGGTCAGCTCTAAGCCCTTATTAGTTTTCTGTGGTAATGGATGAAGTTACAAGACATACAGGGCGAGGTATCATAAGTGTATAATGTTTGCTGATGATATAGTTTTGGTAGGAGAAAATCAGGAAAAAAATGAATAAAAGATTGGATTAGTGGAGATAAGCCTTTGAAGGAAAGGGATTGAGAATTAGTAGAATTGAGACAGAGTATGATTTTGGATGAAGATACTAAGGAGTCGAAGGTATGAGATCAATGACAATAAGTGGTGATGTGATAATCGAGAACAAAAAAATATATATTTAGGAAAGTTTATATAAAAGGCATGGATGTAAAATATAGGATTAAGTGCGGTTGGATAAAATGGAAAGAAATGTTGGGTGTTATATGTGATAAGAAAATTCTAACGAGGCTGAAAGGTATAATACATTTACAGGAGTGTAGTGAGATCAACTATATTATATGGTTCAGAGTGTTGGGCTGTTTACAGGAGTATAGAACTGAGTATGAGTGTTGTGGAAATGAGATGGACATGTTAAGATGGATGGATCGAGTGACAAAAGATAGAATAAAGAACGAATATGTGAGAGGTAGTATTGTTATAGCATCTATATTGGAAAAGATAAGAGAAAATAGACTGAAATGATTTGGGCATGTGATGAGACGAGAGGAAACAAATGCAGTAAGTTATTATGAAAATTAACGTTGAAGGAAAAAGAAGTAGAAGACTAAAAAAGAGATGGTTAGATAAGAGTGAGAATGATTTGAGGGCTGTTGTGTGTATGTTGGGGATGTAGAAAATCAAGACGAGTGGAGATTTAAGACAAGGGTGGCTGACCCAAAATAGTTGGGAAAAAAGGCGAAAGAGAAGAAGATATTAATTTATGATATTTTAACATTTTCCTAAGTTTATAAATTTGTTAGACTTAAGAAAATAAAAAATATTTCATATAATATTTTTAATAAAAAATTTAATAAAGTTAAAGAAATCTATAAATAAAATTAGCTCTACTACATATTATTAAAATGAGTATACTTGTTATATGATGTTTATCTATTGTATATTCTCTATTGAACTTATACCAAACATAACATTGGATATAGAACAAAACATCCATAATACTACATATTGTATTCAATTCTTAGTAGATTTATTAAGTAATATACCCTATGAATACTCAATACATAAAAACTTAGTGGAGACTAATTATGTATTTAATTATAATAATTTATTTATATGTATATAATTATATATAAGTAAATTAAAATTATAAAAGTTGTAATATTTAAAATAAGTAATTATAATTATTTATTCATTATATTTAATAAGTTTCAATATAGAGTGCATACAACACTAAGTCATATGAACAGTAAGAGTATAAATGCACGGAAGACTGCACACAACTAAAATATCTTAAATTTTTATTACCATTTCATGTAAGAGTACATTTCCATCTTTTGTAATTTTAATATCTCCAGCTCCAGAAACCAACCTAAAAACAAATATTGATAATATTACGATATATTAATTAAATGGATTAATATATATA